AATACTGATCAATTGTTTGTGCAACACTGATTCTGACAACCAGATAGCAGCCTGTAATATTGTACACACTTTGAATTTCTCTTCTTTACGAAACCTGAGCAGTTTAACCTCAACAGACCAACAACACTGTAAATGAAGCATAAAAAAACAAAACATTCTTTAGTCCAATCAAAGTTTATACAGGCTTTAAAAGTCTGAATAAACCAAACTGAACACTGATTTTCTAAAGCTCTATGTTCCTTCAAAATATCTGCTTAGCTACTGCAAAACAAGAGATTCTAACTGATAGATTTGGCATATATATGCTAACCTCTAGATGCTGGATGTAATAGTAATGTTTAAAATGTTGTGTCTCATGAGAATTTTATTGTTGTTGTTGTTGTTGTTGATGATGATGATGATGATGATGATGATGATGATGATGATGGTATTGATGTTGTTTTTTTGGTTTTGTTTTTGTCATTGCCACATTTCAAAGAAGAAAATCTTCACCACCACTCTGTTGGTGATGGGAGGACTTGTTGTGGTTGTTTATCTTTGGTTCCCTGAAGATTTAACCAACAACAAGCACATCCTCCTGTTAGACCCGATTCTGTAGTTGGAAGCCCAAGAAGAGGCCGGAGAAATCGTCAGTTCTCAGATGTAGAATTTATTCAGGTCACAGGTAAAGTGAGGCAGCGCTCGATTCAGAGGGACACAGAGCAATCTTATGTCCAGCTGAACTGAATTTTTTCAGTTTCAGGTTGCAGATATCTTCTCGGGCTGGGACTGCCCCGTAGAGTACAGTCAGAGGTGGGATTTGTACGCTACCGAGTTTAACTGGCCAGTTACTGTGACATGAACAGGCTAACCACTGTTCATGTGGAAGTTCACTGAAATGTAAACAGGAACTGCTTTAATCGAATACAAAGTGTGGGTGTGTGTCGTCCAGAAGGCGTGTATCTAAAGCAACTGATAGAAAAGAGGAGTTTCCGCTGTCTCCCAGTATGTGAACCAGTTCCCACCGGCCATGTTATCTTCAAGGACGTGCATTGTGCTCAGTAGAAAAAAGCAAAACAGGATCATAGGATCATAACATACTTAATTATAACACTCCTTCAAGAAGATGTGAGAAACTCTGTCATCCAACCAAAGCCAGCAATCAGAAGTTCTACTTATAAATAGTCCTGGTCAAAATGTCGTAAAAACATATCTGCTACCAGCGTCCCCATCTTCAACACACTTCCTCGTCTTTTTTTGTAGATTCAGTATTTGGTGTTATCTTGGCCTTTAGTTTCCTTCTTTTACGTTGTACCCAGAGATGCAGCAGCAGTCAGAACCTACAATTAACAGGTTGAACTATGTCATGTTTTGGCAGAGTGCCCATTCTTGGGTTTTCTGATAAGCTAATGCGGATCAAAATGTGATGTCATAGAAGTTTGTACATCACCTGGAACAAACTGAACTGCTGTCACTGTGCACATATTGTCTGTGGAGGAACCGAGGGATTCTGACCAACGTACAGATCTACCAACATGCTCAGGTAATTGCTGTTAAATTAAATTAGATCAAATGAGGTTTGAGGTTTGTTTCAATGTAAATTCTTAATTTTGTTGATTATATCAAGCATGCATTTTACTTATGTTGTCTTGAATTGTTGTCACTTTAATGTTTCTAAGGCTGCTGTCTTGGATTCCCTTGAAAATGAGGTCATTGTATCTCAATGGGACCGATCTCGTAAATTAAGGCTAAATAAAAAAAA